CTAAAAATACAGTTTTCATAGGAGTTCCAATTCCATAACATATTTTATAGTCTACCTAAAAGGAAATTTGCATTTTAGCTATATAAATCTGCAGGTAACCTTCAGCCACTAACCTTGCTGTCTTCTTTCTCCTTGGCTTTTCCTTGGAGGGGTTTCGTCTCTCCAAATTCACAGGTTGATTTTAATGTGAGCTGACAAGAAAGCATTGAGCTCTCTATTTCAGCAAGTTCCAAAGGTCTTGAAGAATAATGCTGTGACCCAGTAGTGCCAAGATTTGGTATCGGAAGAGCAGTATGAACAGGCTTTGACCCAATAGCTGGCTGCCTCAGTTTTGAGGCAACCCCAAGTACAGGCATGGCTTCTATAAAAGTATCTTCTTGCTGCCAAAGAAAATGCTTCTAACCTCAGTCTGGTAGACTCCAACTTTAGTATTTCCAGAACAAATACTTTAAACAAAACTAGCAGTCATCCTGATTTTTTTAAAAACTAATAACATAACTTTCAGGAAGAGGCAAAACTTCCCTTCATCTTTAGTTAAGTATCTTTCTTTCTTGCTGGCTGGGATTCTCATATTCTCATTCTCTCTCTCTCCCTTTCTCTTTCTTTCTCTTTCTGCTTCTCTCCACCCCTCCTTTTCTGTTCAGTGAGTCAGTGTCTATGTAATACTAAATACTCCTTTGGGGAGTAAACTTTTCTTGAAGGTAACTGCTACAAAGCTCCTTCTCTAAAATTGAAGAGCTCCTAGATTTGCTTTTTCTTCTCACTAAAGCTGTCTGAGTCTGAGCTTTGAGAGTGAAAAAGAGGAAGAAAACAAAAGGAAAAGCCCTTCAGTCCAAGCTTAAGAGCAGCCAAAAGACCACAATAGTGGAAGGACAGGAGTTCTTCCTGACTTCAGAAATAACCAGCCTGCATTCTCTTTTTAAAGAAAATCATATTTCCCCAGCTTAAAAAAAAAGAAGAAAAAGAAAAAAAGAATGGACATGTTAATGGCCAAAACAAACAGCTGTTGGAAGAACTTTTAGCCCGGAAATAATCTCAGCAATAAAGTTGTTTGTCTGATTTCCAGCTATTTTTCACTACTGACAGCCATGAGCCACAGTGTTCATTCTGTTTCATCCCATGAAATCAGGTTAAATTCATGCAATAGTGCAACTAGCTAAAGCAGCTAAATCATTCA